TGTTTGCACTGAAGCACCGCAGCAATTTCCTAATGTTGTAAACCTCAACATCTGGCAATAAACCCCATTCTGATTCTGATTCTGATTCTGATATAAAAACTCCCAGGGGCCAAAGTTTCTTGTGATACCCTCTAACTATTCTTGACCCTCGAATCGAATATTGAAGAAATTTATCAGGAACAACAAAATGGGAGAAACCTCAAGAAGATCAGCAGAGAAGGGATCCCTCGTCCAGGACTGACAAACACTCATTAGGTGTGGCATGAACGGACTAGACAGAAGTAGCAGTAGTAGAATTATAATGTAAAGCAACAGAATTACAGTATGAAACTAAGAACTATAATATATTAGATTTTAATGTTTGTCATGACAGTAAAGATCCAACTACGCAATGTACAGGGGCAAGAAAAAGTGTTCACCCTTGTAAAGCATCACGTAAAAATTCACACAGTAGAGCTGGAAAAAATATCAGAACCAGAAGGTCGATTACTTCAACAAAACTTGCATTCAACAAATGAAACCTCACTGAAGATTTGAGTTAGCCCACACCTCCAATGCTGTGAAATGATCTTAGGAGAGCTGTCCACCCCTGGCATCCCAAGAATGGCTGAGCTCAGGCAGTGCTGTATATAGCTGTGATGAATGTGCTTTCTCTTGCCCCTGTTCTATACAACTGCATAGAAATGTTGGTTAATAAGAAGCCGATCCTGATCAAATGCATCACCTCCTGTCCGATGATCCCCCAGCGGCTCGAAGAGGTCGAAGGTCGCAGTCGCCCCATCCTGCATGGGCAAATATTTTCTGATTCCACTAGGGTGAGGCGAGCTCACCCGACCAAGTTTACCATACAGTGCCGTCTGGAGGTGACCACTCTTACCCCACAGTAATGGAGGAATGTACCTGGAAAACACAAAATTGCATTCCTTTGTTAAATTTGGTCTCGAAATATGAGCCCTCAGCCTAACGGACAGTACAAGGGCAGGGCAAATGCTCAGACACAAGATCAACACAGTGTTATCTGAAGCACATGCTTTTTGCATTTCTGGTTTATGACAGAGACAGGACTTTCAAGCACAGAGTTTGCACACAAAGTCACATCTCTTTTCAAGACATTTAAAGATTGCTACGTGGACCCAACAGACAGCAACGTTTCACTAGTGTGTAGCTATGTTTTGTAAAGTTATTCGCAGAACCAGCGCTTGCATTCCAGTGACACTTCTGTAGGAGTTAACTGTAGGAGTTGAGTCTTTAGCTTATGTAACATTCCTTTGAGACACCGGGCATTATCATGAATCACTATCACATTTCCACACCGAGAGCAAAATAGTGTGAACTAACACAGAGAAACGTCTTCAACTTGCCACTGCAACTATTTCATCACATATTATAGGTAAAATATTAGGTTTAAAATCACGACAGTGGCGACAGGAACAGATAAAACACCGTGCTTTTCATATAATGCTTCAGCCGTTTAAATGGGATTGGCTGACATAAAAGTATTATTCAATATGGAAGATTTTGAAGTGACTCAGGAAGATATTTAGGAACATTTGAGTTAAAGACAGGCTAGATCTCCAAACGCAGCGTTTCGACAGTGATAACTATATTGGTTGAGTGCTTGTTAATAACACTTTAGTGAGCATTCAAGGCACTCTCTCACTTCTTCAGCTATATAAAAGGCTGTGTGGAATAGTTTCGTGACAAAACTCGGTAGCGAGCTATATCGGATAAACAAGACCAGCATAACTCTGAAGCACAGCTGCAGTGTGGACACTAGCTGTGTGTACAGCACAGCCCAAAACACGACGACAGTCAGCGACTGCCGAGAGTCGAGGCTTCAGTTACATCAACAGTTGCACAAGCTCTTTAACCTAATGTTTCCTCAACTCTTACAGTGGCTCTAACAATTACTTAATTAACAAATACAGTCTTACATAAGAGAATTATCTGCCACAAAACCGACTATTGCCATTTAGTGATAATGTGATCGCCTCCAGGGTGCACTGTAGTTAAAGTTTTACCACATGGTTCTAGAAGGTACTCTGCTGGCTTAATCCATGGCTACAGGAAGAGGATGACCTCACTGTTATAATGTGGACAGGAAGCGCAACACCAGAGTAGCTGAGTTCATCAAGACAATAAAAAATAAAAATAATGCTGTTATCAGTTTTCCTTTGCTTTTAACTGATAAAGTTTGAGAAATCCTTTTTAATAATTCTATATCAAATGTAACAGGCTCCAATCTCTTTTTGAATTGGGATAACTAGTGTAACCTTCTTGGGGTATGTACAGTTACTGTGCTATTGTCCTTTGTAGCTATTAGATAACAGAAAAAAGGAACTGGATGTGTCTGTGTGGCTTGATAAAACAAAGACCCGAAGTCCTGGTCAAAGTCCAAAATGACTCATGTCATTTATGGTAATTGTATTAATCTGCATGCTATCAGTCTTTATGTTCATTGGGCTTTTTTTTCTTTTCTATACACCACATACTGTCAGATGCTAGCGACACACACACATTCACACACACGTATAATACTGGCCAATAGGAAAACAAGCTCTACAATGTTTTGCAATATCCTGGACAATCACCTGAAGCAAATCAGACTGCGACTTCTGCCAAATAATGAAATAATAAATAGCACGCTCTGTCATTTTGCATGTTATCCTAAACCCTATTCAACTGTCTCCAAACACAGCCAAACAAAAAGGCTGTTCACCTCACATCACCCCTCTTATACTTTCCACTGTGCGATCGATTTATTATGCAACAACACAGGATGTCACGAGTTACAAACGTGACTTCACAAAAATGAAGATAAAAACATCTCTGCTAAACTACACACTGGGACAGACATCTTCCTATTCTAAGCATAGAGCATACGGCTGTTCAGGAGGGAATAATAACAAACTAGACACAGATGTAAGCATCAGTGCGGCCTTATGATTCAATGACCCTGCAGCTGAAAGGCAAAGGGCTCAGTAACCACCCGTTATGTAAGCTGACACTCGAGGGTGCTTCGAGAGATTCGCCCTACGAAGCTGAAAGTTCCTGTCGAGTGTCAAAGCAAGAGGTGGAGAGATGCTCACTAAGGAAACACAACTGAGTATACAATTCCCACTCAAGGGAGTGTGTTTCCAGCAAAATTACAGGAAGTTTGAGGCATAACCTGGTTTAAAGCTCACAGCAAAGCCTTGTTCTGTTATGGTCCAGGAACGACTGCTTTGCGTCAGTTATTATGAGCTCAGATGAAACATTCAAATTATAGCAGTCATCATAGTTACCCTGAATGTGAGACCAGCATCATCATGAATGCAAATCCTCCTACCCTGCAGTGAATGAGTCTTTATTTATAATGCAAGTGCAACAAACTCCATGCACCTTTGAGATAACCCCAAAAATACAGACTCATGTTTAATTCATGCAAGAGCCAACAGGAAGGCTGTGGTACAGACGTGTGGCACACTTAGGAGCACTGACGATAGCTGGGACCGCCGCCAGACAAACCGCTACCTTCACTGCTGCTGCACCGTTGCCGTGGCAACCTCCAAAGAGACATGCACAGAGAGAAAGGAAAGCAACTCACTCTTTGGTCAACTGAGAGCAGGACTTGAGGAGGAAGCGGTTGACAGCAGTGTCCTGGTAGATGAGGTCCGGGGGTGCTGTGGGGCTCTTGAGGTTCAAGCAGCGGACAATGATGTAAAGCACCGTGGCCACCGCCGCCAGCTTCATGCCATCAAACATTGCTGGCATCTCGGGAGAGATGGTGTGCACGTCGGATTCGTGGGCGCTCATGATTATTCTAGAAAACAAAAGCAGCCAATAAATGCAGAACTCCATTTTTAAACTGAATTTTAATATAAAAAGACATCGCTTGTACAAGTCAATGTTTTTTTCCCCCCAGTTCTAGGGATTAACAATGGACTTTAAAGAAATTAATTAATTAAATATTCTTCAGGTGTCCTGCAGCAACACATCTGTGGGAATATAAACTCAAAGGAACTCAGATAAAGCAGAGTCAGATAAGACAAACCTGGTTATTTAATACACTCCCTGTAATTACATTACAGCTTAAACTGTGCCAATAGGAAGCCTTGCTGCATAGAAGATAGAGGTGCTGACAATGCTTTAAATAAATCATTACATATAGCAGACACGGTGAATCCTGACTAGCATTTCTCCCAATGTAATGTGCCAGCACAAATTTACATTTTAGCAGATTTATTAAATGTATTAATGTTCACAGCTAATAAAGTCTCCACAGGTGTGAAATTATAGGTAAACAAACAGAAACTATAAAGGGCACAGAAGAGGCTCAATGCCTTCTATTGCAAAGAAAAAAGGAAGTTCTGATCACTGATGTGCAACGCAAATGTTTGTGTGATGTTACCAGGCAGCCACATCAAACTGACATAAACAGAAACAGTCATATCTGAAAGCTAAAATAAACGAATATACTTACATTTTACGTTCAAGTTTGCCTCCAATGAAAATTCGTTTCAAAAGGTCCAAAGAAATGTGAAGTCACAGTGATGTGGTCCTGAAAAGCACATAAAGCAAAACACACACAAAGACCTTCACTGTACAGTATCAGAAAGTTATCTTTTTTCCTTAAACAGAAGTTTCATCTAAAATTAAGTAAGAATAATGACACCACTTAATTTGCATGGTAAGTAACTGCTGAACGATTACACATCCTCTTTTTTTAAGTTTCATGAATCTAAATATTTTAGTTTTGACTGGTGTCCTAAGCTCTTTCAGACACCTGTCGGCTGTACTTATTTTCTAGCATGTTCCTGTTGCCATAACCAAGACTGTCAATATCAGACAGGAAGTTATAACGCTGCCTCCAGAAAACCTAAATGTAACACTTACGAAAAGTCGGCCTCAGACTTATTAGACCTTATTAAAAAGTAAGGCAATTAAACAGCCATCACGTGTAAACAAACTTAACACCAAAAGGCGTGTAAAAATAGCTTCAAAAATAACCCCACTAATACCCGTGTCTTTCACTGGAAACCAATCCAAAGAGTATATCTGACACATTAATACAACTAATGCCAAGAGACGGGGTGTAAACAGCTTTAATTTTACTCTCTGGTCTTTGTCACGACTCACAACAATCCTGAGACGCACCTTAACAGCCACAGGGGTACACAGATTCCATCAAGTAGCTAACCCAGCGAGAAACGTGGGCTTTTCTGGACGATAAAAGCTTTCTAAGAGCAGGCCAACGGTCCTCCTCCCATACTCCCGATCCTGAAAATGAAAACCGTGTCGCCTTTTGGACGAATTAGCTACCCACCCACCAGAATTTGCCGCAGTAGCTCCACATTAAGACCCCGCTTCGCCTTGCCCTTCCTAGCCGTAGTTTGATATCGTTTTAGTCCTTAAAAAAAGCAGCGGAGCATACATGTTTTAACGGCCTTCATTTCTACCGCTAATAATCGATTTAATGTTGCAGCATCACTTGAGGACCAAACCGGACATAGCAACAGTCGCATCTCCAGCGTACTTACCTCAGCAGGAAAACTGTGGGTCAGTTGCTTGCTTCTTAAAAGCGGCAGGCCTTATTTATGTTCGCAGGTTTTCTTTTGTTTAACGTGTCTATAAAAGCATGACAGCCTGATGTCCAGCTCGCCCTCACAGAACCGAAGATAGCTGAAGTAGCGACTGCAGCGATGGGATCCCACTTCCTAGAAGAATCTGTCATTTGCATAACGAAGCCCCCATTGGATAAAATTGCGATGACGTTTTAAGGCCAATAACTTTCCACGCCCCTTCAGCGATGTAATTTTCCACATTACACTACTGGTGGTTTATATATGTCCTACATATTAGCCTAAATACGCGTTCGGACATCTCTATCAATATTTGACCTCTTTATATGATTTTCTGAGGAGATACATCTCTGCTAAGAGTATCTGACACACAGCCAATACCGTCCCTCCCGAACGTGATAAAAACGTGAACTGAAACCGTTATATAAAGTTTCTTCTGCGCATGTCTCGGTCTATTAGCAACATTAGCATTTAGCTGCTGTTGACAGCTAAATGATGTCAGCATATAGCGGATAACTTTGGGTTACTCGTTCTCTAGTTCTACCAGTATTAGCAACGTGAATATTTATTTTCAGGAAATTTGTTATTCTATAATTTAACTACTTAATTCCCATTTATTCTGTGATGGTTATTACAGCATCCTCTCAGCTGTCACGCCCACCTTTGCACCTTTTTGCATCGTGAAGCTTTAAGCATTCGACAAGCTGTAGCCTATATAACGTAAGCGTAAAATTCACAACAACACATTAGGCTGAAATACAACTATACACATTACATTTAATTGTATTTCAGGTAAACACGGGGGATGATAGACCTAAATGACCAAGCTTCTATTTACAGGTCAAGCCCTCGTCATAGATACGCTGAAGGTCAGTGTGACAGGACAACATAACATTCCCTGTCAAAGAGCCTATGAAAAAGATAATTATCAGGAGGACATGTTAGGTGATTGGAAGATCTAGAATGGTCATTTTTTGCTTGCCAATTAAACACAGCCAGTCTACAACTTTTAATAGCTTTAATTTATCACTTTGAATCACTACAACTCCCATGCCTTCGCTTTAAATTACATCTGTACTGCGCTATATATATAACATAATGTGTTGTACTTTAACACAATTTCTTCTAAAATTCACTATAAAGCATAGATTGTCTGCATTTACAAGATGCTATTTATATTTGCTTATGCAAAGTTATATATTTGTGTTATTGATCGGATCTTTGGGATTACGAGTCTAAAAGAGTCAAGATAATTTCATAATATTAATAAGATTAATGTCCCCACTGCAATTGCAGCTTGATATCCACTAGATGGAGACAGAGTTTAATCTCCTTGTGCCGTCTATTAATTTGGCAGGCAACCGAAAGAGGCACTGGCTTTAATGTAGTTTGTCACTTTAGTTATAAGTACCCTTAGTATTAAGTACTACTTAAAAATAAATAATGGCTATTATATATTTGGTAATAATCAGATCTGGATCAGTTTGATTTCTGCAGTGTGACTGCTCTGCCACCAAACAGTCGAGTTTTCCCACGAGGATTTAATTTAGACTTGTTAAATCCCTTGTTAAATCCCTCCGTTTCTTTTATGTTGGGGGAAACAAAAGATCCTGTCAGCAAAATGTTCCAACTGCATGTTTACATGTAATTTTACAGTACTGTGCAAAAGTCTTGGGCCCTCCCTAATTTCTTCACATTTTTCTGGGAAAATTAGAAATATCTTCCAACTGGTTTATTGAAACATTTTCAAAGATACATGGAAATACAGTATACAAGGCAAAAACTGGAATATGTACAATTCTAACCAGCTTGAAAGTTTATATATGCTATGATCATCTTTGTTCTTCAACACAGCCTGAACACTCTCCAGAAATACGTCACCAGGCTTCTTTAAGAACATTCAAAGCTCTTCTTTGGATTGTTTACTACATTTTGTAATTTATAGCTTTTCAGTAATTGCTGATTTGGTACAAAAATTCTGTCAAATTGCGCTATCTTTGGTTAGATTCAGCTAAAGAAATAGGAAGCAGGCTGCTAGTAACATAAAGATACGATTAAAATTGCTTATTTACTAAGTTGTATGTCGTGTGTAGACACAACACTGGCTCATCTCTTGAGTTAGGGAGTTTTAAATACTTGAATGATTTATAGGCCAGTGTTAAAGAAGAATTTAAATAAAGTCTGGCTCGTTGGAAGGGAAATAAAAAGAAGTGAGGTGTGGCTCAAGACTTTTGCACAGTACCCTATGCTACAGGTGTTTTCTTTTCCAGTATATAATCCCTGGGGCTAATTCAAATCTCAGCCTAACCTGTCAATCTGGCCAAGGGGAGGGGGTAGTGGTGCTTTCACATGCTCACAATAAAACAAGTTATTCAACGTACAAATATTTTAGGGTGCACTGTGAAGTTGAATAACAGGTAATTAAGCTGACTGATGCCTTTCAACGACTTTCAGTTAATTTTAGATAAAAGTTAACTCACGATGAAGAGACAAAATTAAAGTGGAAAATGCCTTTAATGGTAAGGCATATTAGAATGCATAAAGTCAATTTAAAAAATTGACCAGCACCATAGCACATAAATACATTTGTTTTCGTTCTTTGTTGTTTTGTTTAAATGTAGGAGTAAGTAAGTTTGAAGTCAACAAGAAGTAAAAATAATGAAAGAAGTGGCGAACAGACTGCCATGAATGAATATCAGAGGACTTCCTCCTCACTTCTCTCCGCCCACCAGAAAACGTCACACGTCGTTAACTCGGGTATTAGCGAAAATCTCAGCTCTCCCATTTATCACCCGGCTCTTCATCTGCGTTTTAGTCAGAATTGCGATATTTCCGACTGCATTTCAAAGCCGCATTGGTATTCAAATTTTAAAGGTAGCGCGTCTTTCCGGACAAACAACCCCCGGGACAAAGTAAGGCTAAAACAAATATGAAACGTCCTGGAAATGTAACCCCAGCGTATGTAGGAACATTTGCTCTGCTGCTTTGCCTGCATTCAGTTACAGGTAAGTTTCCTTTTGAATAAACGACACGAATCAAAGCGGAATATTGCGTTAACGCAGAACTTAAAAGTTTACTTTGTTGACAGGTCTCTGCCTCTAACACTAGACTCCATTTCTCCTTAAGGGGACTCTGGTGCTGTTTGTTGTATTTTCCATGGCATTTGCTTCCCTTTTCCCCATTATATTGTCAATTCACTGTGAAGTGACCTACTTTGATTGCTTTTTGTTTTTCCTTTTCACATAAATCAACGTAATGCAGGGCGAAAAGAAAACAGCAGATGTACAACAGTAGCCTAAATATCTCAAGTATTTTTACTATTCTTACTTAAGCATTTAGGATTCAGTTTTGTGCACTTTTTTGCCCCCTGAAAGCAGTCAATGTAGACGTATGCCTATGATAATGTGAGCTCATTATTGTCCTGGTAGACTAGGTGATTAAATGTGAGACCGGTCTGTTATTACACGTGATACTCTGTTATTACTAAGCTCTATTCTGAGCAGTGATCATTGTACAAGAAGCGATACTTGCAGTAGTGAACACTTCTCGTGGTTGTTTTCCCCTTTCTCAGTGGACAGTGTTTCTAGAAATGTCATTATTCTCACAGGCACACTTACAGGTGTCCCTTTAGTTGTCTCTGTGGACATCTACCTGGACTCACAAGGATTTGGTGCAGATGGAAAGGAAATTAATGCCATCTGTGCTCCTGTCTGGGGCACACATGAAGCAGCTGTCCACTGATCTAAATTTAGTTCAACATGCAAATGTGATTTTGTTCTCATGGTGGTTGTGTACATTCAGAGTCCCACCTGTCTGTTAGGTGTGGTGCATATCCTGTCCCACCCCTGAGCTGCTGTATTGTCATGCTGTGTACCTAGTCTGTTATTCAAAGATCCGCATGCTTCTGGAAAACCCAGCTAATCCTGGACATAAACACATTCTGCTGTCAGAGGTTGGCTCATAAAGACAGTGGCTACATCATAGGAACAGCTGTTTTCCAGCTCACACAGCCTTAGACACTTTCCAGCATTTATTCAGGTTATACTTTTTGAGAATTTAACCACATAAAACTTTATATTGAGTCACATTTCCACTGTATTTTGGGCTATTTAATATGTGTTTATTGTTTTGATCCGTTTTCATGGCGAATAGTTTGGTAAACATAGATTGTGCTGTATTCAAGAATAATTCACGTAGGGTTTTGGCCTCACTGCCAAACAAAATGCCAGTAAATTGCAGTTTGTTGTACCTGGAGCTGCTCACAGTTTGAATGGTGACTGCTGCTGTTCAGTCAATAGACTGGAAAAAGAAAACAAACATAATGAGGTAAAGGTTTTGTAACTTTGAGAGATCTCGTATGACTCATAAGCTTTTGTCCTGCCGCTCCCACTGAGGTCTGAGCCATCATTTCACACAATCCAGGCATGATGTGTGACTCAGTGCCTCCCAGCAAAAACTGCAGGAGCACTGATCAGGGCAGAAACTCCAGCAACACCAGGGAAAGATCTCTGTGTTACTCTTTAGATACACCTGATGGCTGTACCCAACCATTTACCATACATTATCTGCAATAGAACTGAACTTTGGGAAATGCAGTGCTATATTGAGTTGGTAGTGCTGAGCGATACCATCTTTTAGACCTGGGGCATCAAACATAATGCCTGGGAACTAGAATTATCTGCCAAAGACACCAATTTGGCACGCTCTGCAGGTTTGAACAATGTAAAGGAGGGCATATATTTTGGAGGTTTGGAGCTTCTCCTGCTGATTAAGGCCGTTCATACTACAACAAGTAATTAATTAATAGATAAACAATTAAATGACAAATTTTTGTTTTGTTTTTTGTTGTTTTTTTTTCACTATCTACTATAGAAATGTGTGCTTTTTGCAGTGGATGCATGCATGTGCAGCCGCGGTGTGAATAGTAAATACTAATAATCGTTGCACTGCCTTTCCTTTATCTCTTTCACTCAGCTGACTACTGTAAGGTAAATCACTGCTACAATGGAGCAACATGCGTGACTGGAGTAGGAGAGGAACCCTTCATCTGCATCTGTGCCGATGGCTTTGGTGGAGACACCTGTAACCTGACAGAGACAGGTAGAGCTGAAAAGGAAAATTCTGGTGGGAAAGCACCGAAGCACGTACCGAAATTAACACCTTTCTTTTTCCATCTTCAGGACCTTGCAGTCCCAACCCCTGCAAGAACGATGGGTCCTGCGAGGTCATCGCTCCGACCAGACGAGGAGATGTTTTCAATGAGTACATCTGCAAGTGCCAGCCCGGCTTTAAGGGAGTGCACTGCCAGATCAGTAAGTTACTTCTGGCTATGAGTCAAAAGCCTGAACTGAACCCTTTTTGTCTTGTGCATCTATAAGACTACTTG